CAGGAATTGCTGCTTCCTCCAAAAATTTGCAAACCAAAAGCCAGCCCCAATTGGTTTGGAAGTTTGAAATTGATTAACAGTGTTGCATTTGAAGTGACTCCAGACATTAGGTCCAATAGTTAAAAATAGATAGAGGAATAAAGATGCCTCCTCTCTCTAGAAAAGATAACACCAAAATTAATAATCCTTCCCACTTTTATTGAGATCAGGTTGTCTGATAAGCCATTATGATTGTGATAATGGTAAACATGATAATAGTAATTTTGTAAATTTACTGGTGCATTTAAGACGATAATAAATGATGATTTCATATTTCTTTAAATATTTCTATTCCTGAATAGAGTTTTACTTGAAATTTGGAATTATGTGTCTAATTTTTGTTGTGTACCTGATGGTTAAATATTACACTATGACATGTGATTTAAGTAGGATATTCTAAAGACAAATTTTAGGTGTAAATGTTTACTTCAAAATGACTTCATATTTCAAATATCTATTTAGACTTTGAAGGACAAATAATTTTTAAAAGAACATTTGAAGAGTAGTGTGTTTTCATTTGTGAATAATCTCACGCACAGCAAAGAAACATAATAGAAGCCAACATTGAAGCCAATATTTAAGCCAACCCTCATGTGCATTCTCTTTTCCAACACCTATAACAAAGAAAAAGTCATTAATGATGTAGGTGGCCTAAAATAATGCTTCAAACTTAAATGTAGTCTATTATTTTGCTGGTACCTTTAATGTCTGCTTCTTGAGATGTATTCTTCATACTTTTCTTCATGGGTTATTAGGTTTTGAAATACATGAATGTGAACAGCAAAATATATTGTTAGACTCTCTTTAGCAGGCGCTGAAGATGCTGCAAATGGCCGTTTCCTGTGTGTAGCTTAGGCAGAATTCTGTCCTGGTTCATATTGCAACTGCGTTATATTCTGAATACTACTAAATGATTAGAACAGCTAACAAGTTATTAAAAAGTTTCTGTTGTGCCAACAGAAAATGCCTGAGTATAAGCAATCATATTTGAGAAATGAAGAGAAATGAGTTGTGGTATGTGTGTGTGTTCATTTATAGACCAAGTATATAAATATACAAACACCATTTATATGGGGGCTAAGTAATTTTCAAACATTTCAGATCCTTTGTTTTCTTCTTCAAAAGCTACCCCCAACTGCTTAAAGCGTTTGCAGCTGATGATTTTGATTTTTTTAAAGTCAAGCATTCAAGTTAACCTTTAAAAAGCAAACCACCTCCAAAAGAAAGATGTAACCTTTCAATTGCCCCATCTGCTTATCTTTTCCTTTTTTCTTTTTTAGCTGACAATGAAAATAGCACTAACCTTCTTTGCTGATGGACCTGGCATTTAGATGTTTTTATTTGTTGATTGTGAAGTTTTCTCAGAACTTTTAAAGGGCTGGCCACAGAATTACACCCCCAAGTACCTCACTCAGCCCAAAAATCTTCAAGAAGTTTACTTTTTGAGGCCAACATTTAATCAGTATCTGGGACCCCTTGTGAGTCAGTGCTGTTGGAGTTGTTACCTGAACATACTGCTTTTCAGGAAATGACTTGGAGAAGGCCCTAGGCCTTAAAGAGAGGATTTCGTTTATGACGTTATGAGGAGTTACTGTATGTGGTCTGGCACACTCAAAGGCACTTGTGCCCTTCACTGTGAACTAGATATAAAGACATCAGCTCTTACACATTCCCAACTTAGGTTTCTTTCATTTTTCCAACTTAAAATACTAATTACAAATTTATCTCCTCCTCTCTAGTTACAGCATCAAGTACAGTCCTTAGAATTATGTGTTCATATTTGGGGAAGAAATGTTTTCATAAAGATAGTCACAGTTGATATCAACTGTTTTAGAATTCTTGAAAATAGTGTGGCAATAGAAAGAATGATCCTATCTGTGTCATCAAGCCGCTAAAGGTACGAGTTACCTATGGTAGTCTCTCTTTCAGCTTTTTAACCACCCTGTCCATCCTCTGTAATATGTACCGTTCAAACTAGTTAGATATAGAAAGTAAGATTATTATGGGTATGCATACAGCAATTAAAAAAATGATAGCCACTAGTTTGGGGCAAGAAATACAAAACATGTTAACTTCTTATAACATGTCACATTTGATCCTTTTCCTCAAAGTTTATTGCAAATATAATGATGTAATAGGTGCAAAATATGGATAATGTTCTCTTTAAATCTATGCGAGCCTGGTTGGCTACAGTCTCTTCCTTAGCAAGAGGAAACACATCAGGCCAAACCAGGGGCTATTTTCACTGTGGAAACTGGGATCTGCCATCAGTTCCTAAAGTTGATACCCACTTTTAAAGTGAAGAACTAAAACAGTATGAAGTTTCCAATTGATGTTATATACTAAAGGTACGTTTTTAAAAAATCGGGTTTAGCTATCTAGAGTGGAAATATCATTTGGCAGTGAAGATGCCACAGACTGACAGTGTGTCAACTGTCCACAATACTTTGGCTGTCTCTGATGGTTGTGAGACATCTTCGTAAGCACATGCAGGAGAATCCACGGGTCGTGAAAGTTCAACAGTGACTGTCACCTATAGCACACACAAGAATCAACTGTTGAGCATGAGTATAAACATATTGGAATCGCATCTTTAAAAACAACAAGAGCAAGCAAACCCAAGTCGTCCGATCTTAGCGAACTTTAAAAAATTGTTATTTTACATCTTTACTTTGTGTAACAATGGCCATTAAGTTACAGAAAGTAGGAACGTAAACGGTGGGAGAAGCTCGCATCTCGATTCTTTTTTAAACGTTTTCTGTCCATCCGGGAAAATCCTAGCCTCTGGTTAGGAAAACTGAAAGTTGTGGAGAAAGAACGGGGTAGGGCCGAGTGCGTAAAGGAAAATTTTGGCATTGGTGGATTTCTCGAAAGCATGGAAACAGTCTTCCGGGGTCGTTGTAGGGGTGCAACAGCGGGCCTTCCCCGGAAGGCTGGGTCGTCAGCGTTGGAGGGACCCTCTCGCCATCCTGCAGCCCCGCGGGGCGCTTCCCACGTAGCCGCGGCTGGCTCTGGCCGGGCCGGGCGAGCTGTGCGCATGCGCGGCCCGTGGCCCGGGGTTCCACGTGCTGATGAATATGCATGAGACTCCCCCGCCCTCGCGGGCTGTAGAGAGAACCACGCAGAGGCTCCGGCCTGTGAAAGTCGCTGGCTGGGCTCCCAAAACAGTGAGGCGGCGAAGCTGCACGTGTTTGTTTTCAAACCTCGTTGGTTTAAGTGAGTTCACAATGTGGAGCCGACAGCAGAGGCTATAGCAGCCTGGGGCTGCTGCCATTGGGACCGCGAGTTGAGCGGGCCAGTCAGGGCCTCTCCTTCGCCGGGGGCCGGGGGCTGCGGGGTGCTGGAGCCCTAGCCGGCCACACCCCAGTGCATCGGGTCGTTGGGTTTCCCTTTCACCCCGGGCCCACCAAGGAGGCCTTCTTCTCTCCCAAGCCGGAGCTGTAGTCCCGGCTGTTCTCCTATCCCTAGCCCCTCGAAGACGTCCCCTCAACTCACTTAGCCTGCCCGTAGCCAGAGCTCAAGCTCAAGGTGACCGGGGAGCGGCGCGGGGGTTTTCCTGGGCCCTACCCTCTTCCCTTGCCCAGATCCAAGCTTGGGTGTCGGCCTTTGTCTCTCCGCCTCTCTCTCCCACTCTTTTCTCCTAGTTCCTCGTGCTCTCTGGCATTGCCCCAGCTCCCACCGCCCCATTTAGGAGACTAGGAATCATTTGCTTAAACGACTGTTCTAGGGTTTCCACTTGAACCTTTCCAAATAATACCAGTCAGCTTGCCTGTCTTGGAGTTGAGATGGTCCTGTTAAATCGAACCGTGGGGACTGGTGGGGGAACTGCCCTGGCCTCGAGACCGGAAAGTGTAGGGTTTGGACACCTGGATTCAGTCGCTGGATTATTGCTTTCCTCTCCTAGTGACCTCCTTGGGGATCTGCATGGTATTTTGATGGCCAGTGTGCTGACATTTCCAGAGTGAGCGCATAATCTGTCTATGTGGAGTGGCCAAGGCTTGTAAACAAAGGGGAGAAGTAGGGAGGGTCTCTGGGTCACTCCATCCTCCGATGGACTGACATCTACAGCCTTTGGGTGTTTTAGTCAGAACCTGGGTCCCTTAACATCAGAAGTGATTGCTGACAGGTTCCAATCCTCTAGATTTTTACTTTCAACAGAACAGGTAGACTCGCTTTTTGGAGCCTACCCTTTCACTGCCCTCACTGAGAACAGGAGACGCCTTGGGTCAGTACCCGGCTCACACTGCGGTCCATCCCAGGGCCAGCTCCATCTGTGCCAGTTCTGCAATATGAGGACCACAGTATCATTTCACCTGACAATCACCACTCGCCAAGCCTTCAGCATTGAACCTGAGGAGGCAGAGAGGGAGGCTTTGGAAATGTTCCTGCCAGGACAATGCCTTTCTTCCTACCCAAACTCTCGAGTCTCCGAGCTCAATAACGGGAGGATGGCTTAAGAGCGTTTGCTCTAGGTCTCTTTGCCGGACTTGTCGATCCTCACCCACTGCCACCGAGTGCTAGGCCCACAGAGGCCTGGCAAAAGCCACTCAATCCCCACTACCCGTGACTAGGAGGAAAGTGGCCAGAGCATGAGGGTTCGAGTTCTTCAGTCCCAGGGTCCCGGAAACCAGAGCGCCCAGCGTCTACTCAGGGACGCAGAATCCCTCGTTCCACACCCCCACCCCCGCCACAGGGGCCACTCCAGAAGAAATCCATTAGTAATTTGGGTCCCTTTGTGTTTGAGTATTGTGGGGAGGGGGCGATCTAGAGTCTACGGACTTCAAGCTAACGATGACCTGTGTGGGCCTCACTCTGAACAGAAAACTCAAACCCAGCGTGGGTTCTCTCGTTTCCCCCCAAAGGCCAAGGCCCAAAGAACCCTTTTCATTTGGCAAGGGGCTTGAGGGAAGGGAGGGGCGAGGGCGGAAGCGGGTCAGGGTCTGCAAGCCAACGGCCCAGCTCAGCGGACTGGTCCGGCTGCTCAGCTAGGCAGCCAGCGTCCGTGCCCGCAACGCGGTTGCCTTCCCCTGGGCTGGAGAGTGGGGACGTCCCTCCCCCGCCCCCAGGCGTCCCTAGGGTCGGCGCCAGAGCCCTGGAGCCCCGGAGACTTTCTCTGGAGGAAGGCGAGGCGGGCTCTGGGTCCTCTCCCAGCCAGGCCGAGCTTAGCATGTGGAGGTGGCGCGGGAGCGCGGGCATGGACCAAGGGAAGGGGGACCCCCAAACCGCACTGGTGCTTTCCTTTCCCTCCACTCGCGCCGTAGCCCTCCCCAAATTGCCCGTCTCCGGTAGGACTGACTCTGCCTGCCTGGCCTCTCAGCTACCAACTTTGCCCGAAATCTAGATCCCAGACCTGGTAAGTCGCGTTCCTCCCTTACCCCGCCCCGCCACCTTACTAGCGGACAGGGCCCGAGAAAGGGTGCGCGCGCGTGGCTTGAGGCGCGCGCCGAGAAGTTGGACAGATTTGAAACTGCTGCGCCCATTCGGCCTCTGCCGCTGCGGTGTATACGTTTCTATGCCGAACACGCCAGGTTCGTCAGGGATATCGCAGGGCTCCCCAGAGAGGCGGGAGCGAAAAGAGTGCAGGCCCACTCTTCTGGATCCTCTTGGCCCTATGGACACCAAAGCCATCTTTTAAGAATAAGCTTTCTGCTGGTCTCTAAAAGAGGAAAGGGACAGCGGGGGGAGGAGAATTATCCCTTTCCCTAAGCAGTTTGTAATCACTAAGGTCTCCAACAAAGTTTACTTGGCGTTTCTATTTGAATGCTGTGAAATTGTTATTATTGCTATTTTAAGTTAAGGTTTCTAAGAGTCACAGCTTCTCAAATATACGTGCCTCTTGAGGACGCTTCAACAATTACCTTGTCCACTAACTGCACTTCCTTCCCACTGGAAAAAATAAACTTAATTTTTCAGTAGTTGCCTTAGGTCACGTCGTTTACATGTCACTAATGTGAAGAAACAAGGGAAAAAAAGAAAAACAACCTTGGCATTTCTAGTTGGAGCTCCTTGCGCTTTATTATTGAAATGTGAAAGATGGATTTTTGGGTGGGAGGGGGAGGTAGGGCGCTGGAAGAGGGCTTTTGAACCACAGTGCCCTGTTGCAAGGGGCTGACCTTTGGCTGACACAGCCATGGAGCAGGCCGTTCGTTAACGAGGATTTGATACATTAGACATTCGAGCTGGGCGTGTAAAGCTACACTCTCAATCCAGATTTCGCTCAAATTAGTGTTCGAGGAAATGATCTTTCCAAGTCCTGAGGCTTAATCAAGTGTCAGGCAGCCCGGTCGCTGCCTGAAAAGGGCAGCGAAGGACACCCAGTAAAAGGCACATTCCTAGCTCCTTTAAAATAATAATAATAATAATAATAACGTCAACAAACAAAGCAGAACAACAGAACAGAAACCTGCTTTGAATAATTCCTAAAATCCTTTAAGTTGACACTTTGAGGAAATGCTTATAAAACAAGGTTAATCACCTTCTTTTAATGAATTCCGTTCTGCGAAATCCTAACACCAGTCAAGGCTGTGAAGACAGTGTCACAGTTATGGCAATATTTTTTTGAGGTGGGTGTGTGTGTGTTGCTGTTTTACTCTCTAGAGATACTAGAGTGTGACAATTTATGTCCACCAGACAGTGGGGCACATGGAAAGGGGATAGTCATAGTCACAGGTTTTTAAAGGCTTTTGAAAGTAGAAGCGTCTCGATTTAATTTGGTTCCACTTATCCCCAGACTTTGGAGTTCAGAAAAGGAAGGCAGGCTGGCCACTAAGTCCCTGGCCTGGCGCCGTGCGGCTGAACTTGCAGCGTTTCGGCCTTGCAGATGGGGATGGAGTTGGAGGAGTAGCTGCAGCCAGGACTGGGAGGCCACTTGCTTGGAGAGTGAGACGGCTCACGCGGATTTATTGACTGGCTCAAGAAAGGTGTTCTTTTACTTAAGTTGTCATTAAAGCGCTAAGTTTTAAAAGCGCATCCCCAGAAAATGCTTTTATTCTCTTTCCCCCAGTAACAGAGCCCGCTAATTGCTTTCAATTGGAAAAGGGAGAAACTCACTCCTGCCGGAGGTCCCAGCCACTCTCTGGTGGAAGCTGGAGGGCGAAGCGAAATTGTGTTCTAGCTCTGAGCCCCGCAGCCCTCCAATGGCTGACTTCCTTCAGCTGCGGTCCTGGGGAGCGGATCGCAGCGGCAGAGGCAATTTTCCGCACCTGGGTGTTGTTTTCTGCCGCCGGGTTTTGCCCGAGCCTTGCAGGCGCGATTCCTGGGCCCCGAATTTATTCCAAGAGAAAACGCACAAAAATCAGTTGTGGTTTCAAATCTTTATTCAGGGAGTCTCTGCCACCACTCCCCCTCTGTTCGCCCGCTGCAGATGAAAAACTAGAAAGTTAAACGAGAAAGGCAACCACTATCATGAAAAAAAGATATTCTGAGGATTCCAGGGAAGAGAAATTACTACCCAACAGCCTAAGTTGGAGAAATCCAGAGAGGATAGGGCCCCTGAGAGCTACAGGATTTTTTTCCAGACGGAGTTGTGTAGACTCAGTCCCAAGCATGGGCCGATGGCTTCCCAAACTCGGGTCCCCTGTCTCACTACTTGGGCAACTGCAGGGGATTGAAGACACTTTTCTGGACGATAGAGGCCAAGGCCCCCACTGGAAAATCAAACTCTTCCATAATCTTGATAACTCCCCAGCGTGGGAGGGTTGTAAAATTTGGTCTAAGGTGAGAAGAATGGGGAAAGAAGTGAAAGTTGGAGGGTGGGGGAGTAAGAAAAGAGGAAAGACTGGTTAAGTGCGAGGTCGAGTTCATTTTCCCTCAGTGGCGGGTTCCAGTACCAGCTCACTGATGAGAAACTCTCCGGGAGCCCCAACTTCCAAGTTGTGTCAAGTTGAAGTAGAAACGGTGGGTCTATTTCGTTTAAGGTTCACATTTTTGGAGTCAGTGGAAAACAGTATTACAATGTTCCATATAAGAGTGGAGGAAAGGAAGCACTCACTGTTCATAGACTTGCCCTGTTTCTCCCTGGCCTTTTTATTCTAGAACTTCCAATCCCGTTTCACCCCAGGAACCTATACTTGGGTTCGGGCCTCTAGACTCCGTCGTCGCAGCCTGGGGCGCCTATGAGTACCCCGGAGCCGCAAACGCTGCCATTCTAACTGCGACAGGACTTTCTGGCGGGCGCGAGGAAAGCTCCTTTCGTCAGTTCTGAGATTTTATCCGACCCTGCCCTGGACTCCCTCCCCGCAAGCCCCCGGAGCTCCATTCCAGGCCACCGGGGGACTGCTGGGGACCTGACGCAGGCAGCTCAACCGCTGACGTCAGGGGCTGCCGGCGGCTGGAACCCGAGCCCAGGCCACAGGCGCCAGGCGCGGGCATCATTAATTATCAAGCACGAAATGTTGCAAAGAAAAGCGCAAGCTAGTCTGCTGGCAGCTGATAAATATATTTTTTTCTTTTGGGAGGAGGGAGCGGGAAAGGTAAAGGTAAAATGCAGTAAGAAACAGATATTTGGTTTCTTAAGGCTTCTTAAGGCTTACTAACTTCTCACCCTCCTCCCTCCAGGTCTGCCCCATGGGTCCACTCTTTTGTAGGTATGAACTCCGCACTTTCCACTTGGTTTGGGGGATTCCTAGTGAAAGTGCCAATATTTGTTCGTGTGGAAACCGCAGTGCTACAATTTCCTTGTAGATTACAGCTCGAGGGAGTATTTGCTTCCTAAAGCTGGATGTATCTTTTCCATATCACCCCTTCCGTTTGGTCAGATCCTTAGCCCAATATCTGATATTATTATTGTTGTTATTAAGTAAAAAGGAATCAACAAGAACCCCTCCCCACAAAGACAGGGCCAAAAGAAATGAACACTGCAATTCGGCAACAAGAACGCAGCCTTTCATTTGTAACAGCAAAAGCACCTTTCCTTCTTTTCTTTTGTTTTAAAAGGAATTATAATGAGTAGCTTAAAATGGAATTTTAGGCAGCAATAAAGTCTTCAGACACACTCGTTCTTGGTTCTAGTTCCAATGAATTTTCAAAATCCTTCTGAGGATCATTGCCGAATAAATACAGGGCAGAGCAGGGTCATTGTGAAGCGAATTATCTCTTGAGCTTTTCCTTGCAAAGGGGGAAAATATGTCATTCATAACGGAATTCCACAGGTGATAGTAAATCGATTTCCTGGAAAAAGAACAAAGAGAAATTAGAATTAAACTTTAAAACCCACCTAAATATAGAGAATTTTAATATCAGTAAAAGCAATGCTCTGCAAATTCCAATGACTTGACTATTACCTAATTTGTCATAACTAATTTCGTTACAATTAACTGAATTAAAAACTCCTTCCAGAAGAACCCGTATACAAAAATAGAACTCACATGTGTCACTGCATATTGTCAGTAAATAACAGCTCTTGAAAATACAAGATTATCTATAAGTATGCATGTAAATGTATTTGTCAGTATCTACAGGGTCAGGATAAAAAGCTCTTTAGTTATTTTATAGGAGGTAAAAATATCCATAAAAGTACTTTACAAGGCAAATTGTTTAGTGTTTAACAGACAGAAAATCAATGAACTAAATTTTAATTTCCTTTTGGAAACTTCTTATCACTGTAGATGGACTTTTATCCAGAATTACATAGGTGATGATTTTATTCTGAAATTAGTAATTTATTTTTAACCGGTAACTACATAGTAAACACTTAACACATATATATTGATGTCTCAGACATGTACAGTAATTATTTTATAAAATATGAGTGAAAAGGAAGTTCATTCTTATATAAAGTATAATTATTTTGGTATTTACATCTTTATGAAGGTGAATTTTAGAGAGCTAAATTGGTCACACTAATACATGTATAAAATTTCTTAAACATACATCAATAAAAACATTCAGGGGTTGGTGTGTTAAGAGTATTAGAAAAAAGAGATACCTGCGTGCGCATGCACACACACGCACACACACACACACGCACACACACATACACACGCACACACATACACACACGCACACGTACACACACGCGCACACACACGCACACATACACACACACGCACACGTACACACACGCACACATACACACACACACGCACACACGCACACACACGCACACACACGCACACAAGACCAATGAAAAGAAACCTCATTTGGGGTAAATAAAAACAAGAAAGAAATTCAGGGTCCAATTTTTTTTCTTTAACCTTATTAACCATTTTTGTGGCTTGTAATACTTAGACTTTTATTTAAAATTTCAAACATTGCGTGTTTATAAGATTGAAAAATATTTGGAGTTGAAGGCAACAGTTAATCAGCATTCAGTAACTTCAGTAATGTGTTTCTATTTTATATACCACTTCTTTC